TCCAGTGGCTTTTTGTTTCCTCAAATGGAAAAGACAATGCAATGGAATTGCAAGAATGCCCAAGAAGTGCTAAGGCTGTAGTTCAGTGGCAGAGCACTTACCTAGTATATGTGAGGCACTGGGTTTGATCCTCAGGACCACATAAAAATAAACAAATAAATTAAATGCATTCTGTCCATCTACAAACTACAACTGCAAAAAATAAAATAAAATAAATCCCAAGAAGCAAAAAGTATTGAAAATGAAAAATGATAAAAGACTTCCATTTCTCAATTTCAAAACTTACTACAAGTTATAGTAATCAAAACATGGTGGTACTAGCATGAAGAGATACACATGGACCAATGGAAAGGAATTGAGAGTTCAGAAATAACCTAATGTTTATAGCCAACTGATTTTTAATAAAAGTGGTCAAGGAAGTTTTCACCATTCAGTGAAGAAAGAATAATATCTTCAACAAATGGAACCTGGACACATGTTCAACCACAGGCAAAGAATATGGTAGACCTCCATCTCACTCCATGCTTCATAATCAACTCAGAATACATCAAGAGCCTATGTAATAGTTAAAAACATAAAACTTTTAGAAGAAATCCTTAGGGAAATCTTCATGCCCTTCTGATTTGACAATGGATTCTTGGGTCTGACGCTAAAAGAACAAACAAACCATGAAATAAATATGCTGGACTTCCCAAAAGTCTTGTGTATTAAATGTCAGTGTTGAGAAAATGAAAAGACAATCAGCAGAAAGGGATAAAATGCTTAAAAACCACATATCTTAAAATAGTTTGGTATCCATGACATATGAAGAACTCCAATAACTTAACAATGGAAAAGCAAACAATGTAATTTTTTAAATGGGCATAGGGCTTGAGTTAACATCTTTCCAAAGAAGATATGCAAATGAATACTCAAAAAGGGGCACAGCATTATTAGTCATAAAGGAAATGCAAATCAAAACCAAAGTGTCACACTTCACACCACCACAACAAGTATAATAACAATAACAAAAAATTAAGTGTTGGCAAGCACTTGGAGAAATAGGAACCCTCAGACATTTTGGATTGGAATGTAAAATGGTGCAGCTACTGTGGATAATGCTTTGTATCCTCAAGAATTTCAATATTGCATTACCATATGACTCAGAAATTCCATTCCTAGATATGTATCCAAGAGATAGAAAGAAAAACTAATTGGGCAACAGAAATTTGTAAACAAATGATTATCGCTGAATTAACCATAACAGTCAAAATGTAGAAACAATAAAAATGTTCCTCCAGAGAAGAGCGAATAAATTGTGGTATAACACAATAGTCATAGGACAGAATGAATATTAATACTTGCTATGGCTTGGATGGATCTCAGAATAGTTATCTAAGTGAAAGAAGCCAGGCCCAATAGATACATACATGATTTCAATTCTATGAAATATCCAGAATATGCAAATCCATAGAGACTGAAAGAGTAGTGGTTGCCAGGGGCAGTGTGGGAGATGGTAGTGTAAAGGGGAAAGTGGAGTGACTGACAGGCTACAGTGTCCTGGGCTGATGAAAAACTTAGAATTACAGAGAGGCTGTGTTTGCACATTTTGAAACCATGAAATGTCACTGAAATTGTACACATTTTTCCTTTGTTTGTTCTAATTAGTTAATATGACAAAGAATGCACTTTAACACATCATACACAAATGTAGTATAACTTCTAATTCTTCTGATTGTACATAATGTAAAATCTTACTAGTCATGTAGACCTATATGTACATAGGGTAATAATGTCTGGTTCATTCTACTATCCTTCCTAGTGCCATACCTGCCCCCTCCCTGCACTCCATTCTGCCTTATAGGAAATAACTCTGTTCTTCCCTAGCTCCCCCCCACACACACTTATTGTGAATTATCATCTACATATCAGAGAAAACACTCTGGTTTTGGTCTTTTAGGGTTGGCTTATTTCACTTAGCATGATATTCTTCAGCTCCATCCATTTACCAGCAAATGCCATCATTTCATTCTTCTTGAAGGTCGAGTAAAATTCTACTGGATATATACACCACATTTTCTTTATCCATTCACCTGTTGAAGGACATCAAGGTTGGTTTCATAGTTTAGCTATTGTGAGTTGAGCTGCTATAAATACTGATATGGCTGCATTGCTGTAGTATTCTGATTTTAAGCCCTTTGTATAAATCAAGGATAGCCGAGTCAAATGGTGATTCCATTTCCAGTTTTCTGAGAAATATTCACACCACTTTCCATAATGGTTGCACCAGTTTGCAGTCCTACCAGTAATGTATGAGTGTACCTTTTCTCCCACATCCTTGCCAACCTTCACTGTTGCCTGTAATGTGCAGGTTGAAATTGTACACTTTTAAGCAATTAATTGTATATCATATGAATTTTACCTCAATATTTATTTATTTTTCTGCAGTGCTAGGAATCATAGTCAGAGCTTCATACATGCTAGGCAAGCACTTTACCACAAAGGTACACTTCCAGATCAAAACATAAATGGTTTTTAAGTAGGCCATACCCAATGCTTAGCATAATCGATTTTTAATTTTAAAAAATGAAGATATTACATGAAAAAGA